AGTTGTAAAAGGCTGGGAAACGTATGTAGATTGTAATAAAGATTCCAACCTTGTGGGTTTTCTCCGGGTCCTCCGGTTTCCTTCCACTGCTAAAGAACCCTACGCGCAAGCGAATTATTGAAATAAAATTAAACCACATGTTAGTCCCGAAATGACCTAGTGTTGAGTGGACGTTAAACCCCATTTCTCTCTTTTCTTTCTTTGTAATAAAGATATGTGTACTAGTCTAGTTGTCAGGCCTATTATTCGGATAGTTATCGCGATTTTCCTTCGTCACAATCTAGGTCATTCCTTGAATATCGTGGTTTAATTATTTCTTCATTAATTCGCTTGCGCGTAGGGGTCTTTAGCAGTGGGAGGAAACACGCAAGGTTGGACATGCAACCCTACTCCTTGTCACATACAATCGGGGAATCGAAACAACGCCAGTTACGCGACGACAGACCTTATGATACAGCGCGCACACCATTCGGCCATCCACCTCGTTTGGTCAACTTTGTATTAAATTATATTTCATTTTTCCATATAATAGATTGTTTAAATTGAATTCGTGGCAATTAATTTGAAATTCATGTCCTTGAAAATGGTAGGAAAATTTTAATGAACTATACAATCAATGCGAAATATAAATATTTTAGCATGTGGAACCTATAATATAAATTTAATTCTGGTTTTATTGCGCATCATGAAACGATAAACCAGCAGTGATTTGGTTTAATACGATTTTATTTCACACACACAATAACTAAGCTACGATTGAATGAAATAAACACTATTCAATGAGGCGGAACTATTCATACAAAGACAATTAGTCGAACCTTTTAGACCGAGGCTCAGCGCAGGGGGTTAACCCTAACCCAACACTTCATTCAGTGCAAATGAACCCATTTGACCTTTGACCCCGACTATCTCGAAAACGCCCCAACGTGCGAGACAATTGTTTTTGAAAACACTTATATACTAGAAAATGGAATATATACAAGACGATATCCCTTATACAGTAGAGTTTGCACTAGCAGCCACTCCTATTCTGCGACATCTCTACTTGTAAGGGGTCACGATAAATTCCCCCTGTAGAAATTCTATTGTTTCATCTCGAATAATTTTCGTTCCAAGCAAGTATCAGCGACGGCCAAATTTACATATGCAAGTATTGATGTTTGCTTCCAATGCACCAAAGCGTAATATTTAATCGATGTCAGAAAAAAACCCCACACGGATATGTTGGTTAAGAGGCTACTCCCGTTAAGCGGTCAGTCATGACAATTCCCCGATTGGGTGATTAGTACGGATTCTATTGAAATATATTCTATCAATCGGTTTCACAGAGAATTACGAACTAATATCTCTGTAAAAGATGACGTCTCAACACGCGGCGTCGATCATTGGCTCAATGGCGCGTGCATTGTTTACATAAGACCTTACTGGTCCGGGCTGAATGGAGCCTTTTACTAATATTAATACCATTTTTACACTAAATTGGAAATAATTTTTACCTACAAATACGTCAAACGTCTTTATTTTTCTAATACATAAAAAAAAAGTTTTAGAATTTAATTTGTCGGAGGAAAAAAGTTAATTTGTGGCTCATTAAGTCGAATCGATGACATCCTTATCAGTGATTGTCGCGACCTAGCAAAAAATTCACTGCGGATCAGTGTGATATTCTATATCCACTGATATTTAGTCGAACTAAATATTCTCATTTAACGCCGTCATTTAATAAACGTCGTTCGGATGGGACGATAAAACAGGTCACATGCACACGTTGGCGTGCACGTAACCAGCGGCTGCCAGGCAGGATACGCCCACATTTTCGAGAGATGGATAGAAAACAAGGCTAAAACGAAAGTGATTTTTCCTACAATCAAGGGCCATAATTCAGGAAATTACAATTCGATATGCGCAAATATCGAAAGGAACCGAGATCTTTTGGTTATAAACTTACATTTCAAGTTTCAACAAAATCGGATAAAAATTGTGACCTCTATAGGGTCCACAACCTTGATATACCATATTTTTACGCTATTTGAGAACGAAGGGCGGCCATTTTGTCTGTCAGTTTTGGGCCGATTTTCAGGAAATACAAACTCAGTGTCCTTAGGGTGTAACGGTGATATAATAATAGGCTACGTTTTATTAAATCGGATAAAAATTATGACCTCTATAGGATCCACAAGCTAAAAACGCAATTTTTCGTACAATCAGGGGCCATAATTCAGGAAGTTACGTTCCGATATGCGCGAATATCTAAAGGAACCGAGATCTTTGGGTTATAAACCTACATTTCAAGTTTCATCAAAATAGGATAAAAATTGTGACCTCTATAGGGTCCACAACCTTGATATACCATCTTACGCTATTTGAGAACGAACGGCGGCCATTTTGTCTGTCAATTTTGGGCTGATTTTCACGAAATTCGAACTCAGTCGTCCTTAGCGTGTAACGGTGATATAATAATACGGTTTTTTAAATCGGATAAAAATTATGACCTCTATAGGGTCCACAAGCTAAAAACTCGATTTTTCGTACAATCAGGGGCCATAATTCAGGAAGTTACGGTCCGATACGCGTGAATATCGAAAGGATCCGAGATCTTTGGGTTATAAACCTACATTTCAAGTTTCATCAAAATAGGATTAAAATTGTGGCCACTATAGGGTCCACAACCTTGATATACCATATTCTTACGCTATTTGAGAACGAACGGCGGCCATTTTGTCTGTCAGTTTTGGGCCGATTTTCAGGAAATACAAACTCAGTGTCCTTAGGGTGTAACGGTGATATAATAATAGGCTACGTTTTTTTAAATCGGATAAAAATTATGACCTCTATAGGATCCACAAGCTAAAAACGCAATTTTTCGTACAATCAGGGGCCATAATTCAGGAAGTTACGTTCCGATATGCGCGAATATCGAAAGGAACCGAGATCGTTGGGTTATAAACCTACATTTCAAGTTTCATCAAAATAGGATAAAAATTGTGACCTCTATAGGGTCCACAACCTTGATATACCATCTTACGCTATTTGAGAACGAACGGCGGCCATTTTGTCTGTCAATTTTGGGCTGATTTTCACGAAATTCGAACTCAGTCGTCCTTAGCGTGTAACGGTGATATAATAATACGTTTTTTTTAAATCGGATAAAAATTATGACCTCTATAGGGTCCACAAGCTAAAAATTCGATTTTTCGTACAATCAGGGGCCATAATTCAGGAAGTTACGGTCCGATACGGGTGAATATCGAAAGGATCCGAGATCTTTGGGTTATAAACCTACATTTCAAGTTTCATCAAAATAGGATTAAAATTGTGGCCACTATAGGGTCCACAACCTTGATATACCATACTCTTACGCTATTTGAGAACGAACGGCGGCCATTTTGTCTGTCAGTTTTGGGCCGATTTTCAGGAAATACAAACTCAGTGTCCTTAGGGTGTAACGGTGATATAATAATAGGCTACGTTTTTTTAAATCGGATAAAAATTATGACCTCTATAGGATCCACAAGCTAAAAACGCAATTTTTCGTACAATCAGGGGCCATAATTCAGGAAGTTACGTTCCGATATGCGCGAATATCGAAAGGAACCGAGATCGTTGGGTTATAAACCTACATTTCAAGTTTCATCAAAATAGGATAAAAATTGTGACCTCTATAGGGTCCACAACCTTGATATACCATCTTACGCTATTTGAGAACGAACGGCGGCCATTTTGTCTGTCAATTTTGGGCTGATTTTCACGAAATTCGAACTCAGTCGTCCTTAGCGTGTAACGGTGATATAATAATACGTTTTTTTTAAATCGGATAAAAATTATGACCTCTATAGGGTCCACAAGCTAAAAATTCGATTTTTCGTACAATCAGGGGCCATAATTCAGGAAGTTACGGTCCGATACGGGTGAATATCGAAAGGATCCGAGATCTTTGGGTTATAAACCTACATTTCAAGTTTCATCAAAATAGGATTAAAATTGTGGCCACTATAGGGTCCACAACCTTGATATACCATATTTTTTTTACGCTATTTGAGAATGAACGGCGGCCATTTTGTCTGTCAGTTTTGGGCCGATTTTCACGAAATTCGAACTCAGTCGTCCTTAGGGTGTAACGGTGATATACGTTTTTTAAATCGGATAAAAATTATGACCTCTATAGGGTCCAAAAGCTAAAAACGCGATTTTTCGTACAATCAGGGGCCATAATTCAGGAAGTTACGGCCCGATATTGCGAATATCGTAAGGAACCAAGATCTTTGGGTTATAAACTTACATTTCAAGTTTCAACAAAATCGGATAAAAATTGTGACCTCTATAGAGTCCACAACCTTGTTTTGAAATTAGTCTCGCTTAACGAGTCTATCGACCATTCTACGTCTGACAGGTCGGGATAATCAAGACTACTTTTTTACGAAACATAACAAAGCTAGAACAAGAAATTGAATTTAGAAATGAGCACGTTAGCTAGCTCAACAATTGTTTTAAGAAGCTTGTAAAAGTAAAATGAAACTACTGCTAGTATCATGTTCATGTCTAAGCCGAGTGATTCAGAGATATTTGTACTAAACCAAAAGATGCCGCTCTTAACGGTACAGTTAATGATAAAGCGATTTAAAAAATGAAACGAACGTAATTTCAAAATCTGCTGTAATAACCAAGAAGCTTAATTTTACTGCTATTCAAAATCGTCAACAATAAATTTTTTACGGTTGTAATAGTTGATATTTGTAGAGAATTGCACGTGCCATGGCTATTTATAGTATCATACTGTCAGAAAGTTGGTCTCGGCACGGCGAATGTGCACGCTTCAGTGGTAGTCTCGAACTATCAGCGGTGGACTGTATTTCTGTGAGTACATGGGTCACCCTATACATGGCATAATATGCCCATCTTCAATAACATGACAGGAAATCTAGATCGATCAATACACTGCAAAATCAAAATGCGGGTGGGGTGCATAAAAATTGTAAAAAGAAACCGCAAACAAAATAGAATATAGCATGACATTTTTATATCGACTCTCGTAACAAGGATAATATATGGTTTAACAATTCTCGTTTTTCAAGAGATTCCAGGAAACTACGTTTGGTGACGGTTGGCGACGCTGTAGTAGATTTTCTGGATTTAAACTTGGATTGTCGTGACTTCTTTTCTGCCTCTGAAAAATATACCATTTAATGATTCAGCTATTCCGATACTTAATTCAATAGTCGACAGGAATTTTTAAAATACTATACACCCAATAATGGCACACTATATTATTATTTGGGATATTCCAAGTCTTTCCACAGCGGGGAAAGTGTGTGTGTGTCAGTGTGTGGGGGGGGGGGGGGGCAACATGCGACGAGTAACAAAGCACAACACAAATCTAAAATTTAATAAGGGTTAATTTTAAAATTTCAATGTACATTCATTTTGTCAGGCGCCCCTTTAGAAATGGGATAAACATTGAAATGTATGAAAAGTTTTTACCCATTTCTATACCCCCCCCCCCCAATCTAAACACCCCCTCCATTAAGAAAACCCTACAAACTAGGGTGTTGAAATTCAGAAGGGGGGAGGGAACGAGTAAAGCGTACTATGCCCAGGGTCCAGGAACCCAGTGACGTCATACTCTTCAGTTATTGTACAGCCTGCTTAAACATACATTATGCAAGAGCTAAATCTGCCTATTGCAGGTTTTTCTTTAGGTCTGAAATGTTTTCTAAAGTATTAGACATTAATTAACTGATCCAGGCCTTAATCAACTCTGATGGCATCAGATTTCTCCGATATTAAATCAATTTGAATGGTTCAGCGATACTTTGATTTAATCAAATATGGAGGACCGAGACTTGGCTTCGATCAACCAGTACGGTGGTTGAAATTATTGCACATGTCTGTCAAACCTTCAAAGGCTAATATCTTCACTTGCAATAGAGTAATTTGAATGGAATGACATTTTCAAATTATTCATTTTACATCACCTACTTTCGAACTTATAGCAAGACTGGCTAGTTCTTTATCTAAATCTTACATAATGTATCATTAAAACTGATTTAGACAAGAAACTGATTGTAATGGCTTATACAGTATCTCGAGAGAATCGCACAAATCCCTGGTTAAATATTTAGAAACGGTTAAATAAAAAACATACCTAAATAATCTTGAAATTCCTCACACGTGTCTTCAAGAGAATCCAGTAAATCGCCATATTTTTCAAAATCTATTTTGGGACCTCGCTTAAAAGCTCGATTCCGCTTTCTGGCACCACGGCCCTTCTTTTTAGAAGCTTTTTTGGTATTGTCTGCCTTTTTTGTATCTTTGTCTTTTTTATCAGCGACAGCTTTTTGTAATTTCTGTATTTTCAATGCTCGACAAACGTATCTTAAACTTAGTACAAGTCCTGGTCGGGCTCTTTTCCTTTGACCTTAAAATAAACCATAAGATATTGAAGACCTCAATATTGACAGGTATTAAAAAAAGGACAATAATGGTACCAGTCATTATCCTATATGTGATAGACTGGTTAAACACGTTTCAAATATAATTTTTAACACAGATCATTGCTACGATAGATGTTAATCTATGTTTCAACAATCGGAAGTGACGAACGGAATAGGAAAACACGAGTTATCCCTTTATCGTAGCAATGATCTGTGATAAAATAATATTTGGAACGTGTTTAACCAGTTCTATCACATGTGATAATGGCACCAATATGTCCTTTAAATATAGAACCATGATATGGATATTAACCCGTTTTCCATTCATTACATAAACTCAGCGGAAAACGCTAGATCGGAAACAGTCCTGCACATTTTTTCTGACTGATGTCATATGGATATGGTTAGGGTTTTTGGAGAAGGGTTAGGACCTGTAGATTTCGTCGCGAGATGTAAACAGGGAGCGTTAACCCTGGGCCTAACCCTAAACCCAACACACAAGTCACATAAAATTATGAAGTCATATGTGCAGGACAGTCTCCGATCTAGCGCTCTTCAACCCCTAACACGGTTGTCGGGCAAAAAAAATTACCATTACTCGACATGGTTCGAGAGCCACGGTGACTTAAAAGAGCTAAGTCGCTAATATTTGGGACCTAGAAATTGACACAAATGGGTCGCAACGCATACAATAATGTAATATGAATGTATATAAATTGATTTACATTCAATCATTTCTGTTTTTACTGTAATTTCTAATCAGTTAGGTTCGGCGACATACGCCAGTATTCTCAATCGAATTTCAATCTCTAGCTTCTGGTTATTCCAGTCTACGCCGATAGTATTTATTGGGCATGCTCTTCAGATAATATAGCGTCACCGTTTGACATGACTTTTGGAATATGCCTAGCCTCGTTTTTCGAGTCCCTTATTACACATAGCGCTGAAACGCATTATGGTACACGATTCGTGTACCAATTGTAAAATGTTTATTTTGTCTTAAATATTGGATATCAGAAGGCCATCTTTTCCCGGGGGGGGGGGGGATTCGATACAATTGAAAAATAGCACATGGGGCGTATTAACGAACGCCGCTCGACCGTTCTAGTCACGGGATGACATACACCCACGTAAAAAAAATAAAGTGTCGATACATGTCAATACCTCTAAACCTCCGCGTTTCTATATCCTCTTCAGAATCAGAATCAGGTAGATGTCGCTTTAGCTGTTGTAGAACAGCGTTGTCCTCCGTATCATCCGATAGTTGTCGTAGTTGTTGCAGTGAAACATGTGCGTTGTTCTCCGTATCATCCGATAGTTGTCGTTTTAGTTGCTGTAGAAGGCCTGCGTGGTTCTCTGCATCATTGGACATTAAACTGTCAATCCAACTGGCCTCCGATGCCAGAACCAACGCTGGTAGTAAGATAACGAATAGTTGTAAAGATAACATGGCGGTCTGAAACAAAAACACAAAATGAGCAAATATTATGCACGATCAAATCAAGTTTAACGTCCTACCGTTCTGCTTGACTGGGCTAATAAAGACGGGCATAAGCCACACGGTGGGCTACGAGAAAAACTTTGCCCGGGCAGAGGCACTATGGCCTACTCTAACATCGAATTCCAACTGCCAAGGGATCTTTTACGTGAACACCAATGTTTACAGGGGACCGGTTTTGGGTCCCATCCGAACTAGATAGGTTCTTGTCAGTCCCCGCCCCCCGCCCGTCCTGCACCACCGACAAGGGGAAACCACGTGGTAAAATCTCGATGAAGCCACTTACAGCAATGAATTGAATTAAAAACAGATGGGCATGAAATGTTGCATTTTATTTTTAATTCGAAACTGTGCGTTCGCCTGTACAATATTGATCTAGTCGTAATTGGAATCGGGTTATAACGCAAGGATAGCCATTATTTAAAGATATATAATATATAGCTTTAGAAGGCCACGCGTCAGCCGACGGGAACCATCACGACTGCAGGTTATGCTTTGTCCGATATGCAATTACAAATTCTTACGAAGTTCCCGTCTCCGACCCAGTATAGCTTATACATAACAATCATACCGTTCGTTCTAGGGGACACTGACCGATTTAGACTATTGTAATGATATTCTATAGACTGACCACCGACCCCACATTTATGAAGATATGTCGATATGTCAACAAATCAATCCACCAAAACTGACTAAAAGGGGAATTAGGAAGATTAGATAACGCGGTGGCGGTTATCGATATAATAGTTACAAGCTAGATAATGTAAAGGGAATATGCTGAAAGTTTCAGTTACATTGATCCACTCTGAACCGCGATATTGGAGATTGAATTGTGGCCTAGTCTCGATTACTAAAGTCGATACGATACCCCCCCCCCCCCACCCAGGTCTTTTCATGTTTATAAAGTATGTCTAATTAATATTAAAAATACATTATGCAAGAACTAAATCTGCCAATTGCAGGTCTTTCATTAGGCCTGAAATGTTAAGGAGCTATATCTAATATTTGGGACCTAGAAATAAACCCAACGTATATAATAATGCAATCCGATTATATATAAACTGATTTACATTCATTTGTTTCGTTTTGACTGATTACAAATCAGTTATGTCCATCGAAATACGGCAGAGTCTCAACGAGTTAGACTTAGGTATTAGACATTAACTTATCCAGACCATAATCAACACTCGGTGGCATCGCTAGCTTGCGATATTTACTGGATTAGAACCCGGTCTGCTGCTTCTGATTTTTTTATCCTACCGACTTAGTAATGATGATCGAGGCTAGGTCCAAAATTCATTCGCTAAATACTCGGTTCAGCGTGGATCAATTTGACTGAAATTTTCAGCAAATTCCCTATTTATTATCTAGTTTTTATAGTAAGAACTACCAGCTCTTTATCTAAACTCACATAATGTATCTTTAATAGAACATTTCAGGTCTAAAGAAAGACCTGCGATAGACAGATTTAGCTCTTACATAATGTACGTGTATGTTTAAACTATGTAACATGATACAAAATTACAAAATGAATTATTACCTTGTAAATGATCTCCACCAACTATTCAACCAGCAAACGAAACATCTATGTTACATCTGAAGAGCTAACGTCATATTTATAGCCTGCAACTCACGTGCATGGCTTTGATAGTTTGGGCGGTTGGATTAAACTGTTTGAAAATGACAATTATGCGTTTGGGCGATAGGAACAGCATTTGGCCACCCAAAATTAATGAAATGGGGTTTAACGTCCTACGTTTCTGCTCCGACTGGGCTAATGGAGACAGGTGCATGCCACACAGTGTGCTATGAGGGATATTTTACCCGGACTTATTAACCTGTAAGGATAATTCTCTTTGATCTTTGGTGTATATTCTATGCCCGGAATAACTTGCGGTCTGAAAGACGGGGGAGGTTTTGGATATACACAGGGAAATTTGGGGTTATTCTTCTGAAAGTTTTTCTTTAAACCTGTAACGGGTTATTCTTCCAGGGATGTTTTTTTTCCACAAGAAAACGTGTGTAAGATTCCCATTGTGTTGGGGTGAACGTAACAGATCGCATATATCCTATGGATATGCTTCAGATACCCATTCACATTGTAAATTTTCATTCCAGCTATGCATTGCAGGGTAATCTTATTCAATCATTGGTTTTGCAGCTTGTCTCCATATTCTTGCAAAATAATTGCTGCGTTTAATGTGCAGGAAAAAACCACAAGGGGGTAAAACATCCACAAGCTAAAACATGATTTTTCGTACAATCATGGGCCATAATCCATGAAGTTATGTGCCCAATGCATGTCAATAAACAAGATATTTTGGATATAGACCTATATTTCAAGTTTCGTCAAAATCGGATAAAAATTGTGGCCTGCAGATTGTCCACAAACAAAATGTGAACGCACAGACAGGGACCTATAACAAGAGGTGTATCAAATCGTCTGCATTCATTTTTTGATCCCTCTGATGATGCCACAACGGCCTTCTTACGAAGAAAACCAACAAAGACACTCGCACGTTGGGAGAAGAGGAAGCATTATAAGCCCGTCCAGGATCTCATTGTGATTATTTCTAGTATGAAATGCAATACAGGTTTATGACGTATGTAAACTTTGTGACGTATACAACATGATACATTAATCACTGAACTCAGCGCAATCTATTTGTTGAGGCCAGCTCAATTTCTGTCAAGGTCGTTGAAATGTAAATGGGGTTAGGGCACGTGATAGTTGGCGAGATTGTAGGTTAGAGCAAAACCTAGTATGAAATGCAATACAGGTTTATGGCGTATGTAAACTTTGTGACGTATACAACATGATACATTAATCACTGAACTCAGCGCAATCTATTTGTTGAGGCCAGCTCAATTTCTGTCAAGGTCGTTGAAATGTAAATGAGGTTAGGGCACGTGATAGTTGGCGAGATTGTAGGTTAGAGCAAAACCAAGATGCAAAAACAAGATATGTAATATGAAATTTGGTTTAACGTCCTACTGTTCTGCACCGGCTTGGCTAATGAAGACGGACAGATGCCATGCAGTGTGCTATGAAGGAAATTTTACCCAATGAGCGATGCTATTCCTATTTCGCATTCCATCTGTCGATATGTCGTTTGGGTTCACGCCAATGAGTACACGGGGCCCTTTTTGCCCCATCCGAACGACTAGTAAAGCCTACCACCCTGCACCACCTGGACAACCCGAGGATCTCTCGGTCAAATCCAGGAACCACGGGACAGCCAGGTTAGAGAGCAAACATCTTACTCACCCAAAATAAACATCACCATGAAAATCAGAAAGTGTGCCAACGATCCGAAACGAGGATACACGATGGTCACAGTAATAATTCGTGCGGCTGTGTTATATAGAATTAGCCGTGATATATTTACAATGGCAGATACCTACACTATTATTGAGTTTGTGCTGGGGGTGTCAGTGAATGTTTTATATATTTTACTATATTTCAGATACCTACGATTGCCGCGTATGTGCCGGGGGGGGGGGGGGATTCGGTGAAGGTTTCATGTCTGTAAATGCTATGACGAGGATAGTCAAACCGGGTTTGATATTATTCAATGTTATTCAGAGATTAATAAAAATATAAATCTAACATCCAATTCATTTTTATATGTTGTTTGGAGAAATTGTTGATAATAAACCTCGGAGTTATTGACCTTTTTTTTTTAATTTACTAACGTATGGTTCAATTTTATTTTAATAATTCGCTAGAGCTTAGGGATCTTTAGCAGTGGGAGTAAACCGGAGGACCTGGAGAAAACCTACCAGGTTGGACAGGCGACACTACTCCTTGTCACGTACAACCGGGGTATCTAAACCACACAATTGACTCAATGACAGACTTTCTCACTCGGCAAACCTCAGCAGATTCCAGTACCCTACATCATGCCTACATCTAGCCTCGGCTGTATGACGAAGTCCGCCATTGGAACTACTTTCAAGTTCCCGGATTACCAACGGCATTGCCCCTGAACAATGTTTTTATCATACAAATATTTCAAAGTCAGAAGCTGCTTTTCTTTCAAGTTTATCCAATTTTCTTCAAACAAGGAAAACTTTGCACTGAAAAATTCTACACGACGCAAATTTGATAACTTCTTTTTAAAAGCTACAAGTTTTCCCAATAAGTAAAACGGTGGCGCATCGCAATTGCATGGCCGCAGATCTTATTAAATTTTAGGGGGGGGGGACGGAGGCGGCGGGCGGAGCCCGACACACGGCTCGCGCCACAGGCGCGAACCGTTCTGCGGGGGGTCTGGGGGTCTTCCCCCCATTAAATTTTGAAAGCAGGATGCCTGAAAACGCGAGAATAATCAATAATTACACAAATAAGGGATGAGGAATATATTTTTTTCATCATCTATATATATATTTGTGACTGTCGTTTGTCTGTCTGTCTGTCTGTCTGTCTGTCTGTCTGTCTGTCGGTCTGTCTGTCTGTCTGTCTGTTCGGTGTTGGCGGCTACACTAGGTCTGCCCCGAGCCTGAAATTTGGGGTATAGGGGAAGCTCGGACCGGAAAGTAACATAGGCCAGGTGGCGTTAGTTTACCGCTTCCAGTTTCGGAGTTATGACCCCCCGAGCGAAGCCGGTCTGTTCGGGGTTGGCGGCTACACTAGGTCTGCCCCGAGTCTGAAATTTGGGGTATAGGGGTAGCTCGGACCGGGAAGTAACATAGGCCAGGTTGCGTTAGTCTACCACTTCCGGTTTCGGAGTTATGACCCCCAGAGCGAAGTCTGTCTGCTCGGGGTCGGCGGCTACATCTGCCCCGAGCCTGAAATTTGGGGTATAGGGGAAGCTCGGACCGGAAAGTAACATAGGCCAGGTGGCGTTAGTTTACCACTTCCGGTTTCGGAGTTATGACCCCCGAGCGAAGCCGGTCTGTTCGGGGTTGGCGGCTACACAAGGTCTGCTCCAAGTCTGAAATTTGGGGTATAGGGGTAGCTCGGACCGGCGAGTAACATAGGCCAGGTGGCGTTAGTCTACCACTTCCGGTTTCGGAGTTATGACCCCCGAGCGAAGCCGGTCTGTTCGGGGTTGGCGGCTACACTAGGTCTGCCCGAGTCTGAAATTTGGGGTACAGGGGTAGCTCGGACCGGGGAGTAACATAGACCAGGTGGCGTTAGTCTACCACTTCCGGTTTCGGGGTTATGACCCCCGAGCGAAGCCGGGTATCCTGCTAGTAATAAATAATTTGAGCCGACAGGCCGTCATCAAATACCAACATATTATAATCCTCGCAATATAGGGATATAGGTGCGCTACTAAATTGCCGGTCACGGATGAAAATGTGATGAATAATTTCTCAAGTGGCCAGCTCTGAGCATAAGCTGCTGAGGTCATGAAGAGATCATTCTCAGATCTGGGTTACATCAAAGACCGGGCATTTTTGAACCAAGGGGAAATATCCTCAGCCTGAAAATAGGAGTCAAGTTTTGGGAGACGCTGACAAAGTAGCCTACGGCGGGCGAAGGCATACGCCACGTGCGCTACAGGCGCGCATTTAGCGGGGGTCCAATCTGAACGACAGACTCACCCTACCTGCAGAGAAGTGACTCTGACACAGTGAATAGTCATGATATGCATATGACGTTATCTAAACGTCACAGGTCATGAGGTCACATCAACAAACAAAATGTAAACACCATCATTATGATCATTATCAACAGAACATGACACAATGTTAAATTGTAAACAATAGCCTTCTTGCAGCCTTTAGGACTGTATAATCCGTACAGAACGTCTTATCGCTTCTGCCAATGATTTTTCACAAAAATAACATCATCTACAACTCTAGATTTGACGTCGGCATATTGGCACTATTTTGTGCTTCGGTCGTGTCTATTTCAGATATACACAATCAATTCTGTTAATGTTTTTAGCGTGGGGATTGACTAAACGTTAATTTATTTCTGTTCTAAAAATAGCCAAATTCTGGCTGGGATTACTGAGCAAAATGGCCATTCACTGTATACGTGAGAAAAAAAAGCCAGCTACCATTTAATTTTCGTACGTTAGTTACGTACGGCGGGGGTCTTGGTGCTTCCCCCGGTAGATTTTTTAAAATTAGGATGCCTCAAAATGCTATCTGAGACCATTTCTGGGCATTGTACATCGGCATGTTCGGAAATATAGGCTATATTTCCCGGGCTGAAAATAAGACTTTTGAAATTTTATCGATTCATTTCTCGCGGGGGGGGGGGGGGACGAGGTATATGAAATCACCCCCAGTGAAAATCCAGGGGGGACGCCCCCCCCATCCCCCCGGGATCTGCGGCCTTGCGCAATTGTATAGGCGTAAGTACATATCACTTATCGTCATACAGCCGAGACAATAGTAGAGTAACGGAATCTTACGAGTTTTGCCGAGTGAGACTTTCTGATACCACGCGCACGCGCTAACCATTCGGCCATCCAACCCCCCCAGAATGGCTGGAACAGTTGTCGGCGTGTGTAACATTTTCCGACATCTTATCTTTCCTCTGGACTATTTAGGTCTTGGATATTTTTCTTTTTAAAAAAAGATAACAATTTTCTGTAATCTTAATTAGTCTGATACAACCCTAGCACGATTAGACTATGTATGCTGTTTCTAGAAACCCTGGCAATAATAATGAAATGGGGTTTAACTATTCTGCTCCGAACTGGGCTAATGAAGAC